CTTCAGGGATCCCTTCAACATTCAAGGGGCCTATGGGGATCATGCAGGGATATTTCGGGATGCATAGGGTTTGGGCCTTTTTGGCTTTCCAAATGTTAGGGGGCCGGTTTTTTGCTAGTCCCTATAGTAAGGATCTTGGTATTTTGCGTTATGAAACAGGCACCCCCCATTGTCAGAAATGCCACTTAGCCAGGGCCCGATACCTCTCAAGTTTTTGGATTTTCCCTGGTACCTACATGTCAACTTTCAGTGGGGTTGCTGAGTGCCATGGTGACCCTAAACCCCGAACCTTTAGATCCTAAACCCTGAACTGCTTCAAGCTTGGGTCCAGCAGGAGATTCATCACACCGTCCTTGTTTTTGGGCCAAGGTGTACCGCGGTTCAATACAGGCATTTCTTAATTAGATAACCCCTTCCTTTGTAGGGTTCATGGTTTGGGGTTTAATGTTTAGGAGTTCAGGTATTTCTCAGAGAGATCCCATTAGAATGCCTTAAAAGGGACTCCCCACCATAATCCCCTGATAATCCCCATACATCCCTTGCGGTTTTTCGGCCCCAGCCTCTTTGAGGAACTCCATACCAACCCCTAATTCTAAAATCTAAACCCTAAACCCTTAAACCCTAAACCCTAAACCCCTAAACCCCTAAACCCTGGGAAGCGCCGAGGTTTGCGGATGATATGAGCAGCTTCGAAAAAGGATGCGGCCATCGTGGCTCGGCTTGCGTTTAAGAGGTTTAGGGTTTGGGGTTTAGGGTTTAGGGCTTAGGGTTTAGGGCTTAGGGTTTAAGGCTGGGGTTTAAGGCTTAGGGTTTAGGGTTTTAGGATTTAAACTTTGGGGTTGAGGGTTAGAAGCAGGTTCTGGAGCTTAGATTTTTTTGAGTTCGGGTTCAGGAAGCCTTTCTTCCTGAAGTCTGTGGTTCAGGGGTGTGTGGATTTGGATTTTTTGGGCTGACTATAGACCCTATTTAAGCCCTAAGCCCAAAAAGCTGTAGTATATTTGTGGGACAGCTGCAACATTAAGGGCTGGGGGCTATCAAAATTAGAGGCAGCCCTGAAATCCTGAACCCCACACCAAAAGGCCGTGGCAATTTGCGGATCTGCAGGCTGATGACAAGTAGCCCGCTCCAGTAGTCGAGTTACGGTTAAACCATTCAACCCTAATTAAATCCTAAACCCTAAATCGCGGGCCAACCCCCAGACTGTGACCCCTAATCACCTAGACCGTCCAACTGCCCTCTATTCATGCCTAAATACCCCACAATCTGGAGCCATACGACCCACATCAAGCCCGATAAACTTCACCCCTGCCGGAATTCTACTCTGGAAATCTGCAAGATGGGATGAACAGACATGGTTTGTTACCATCCTTTTATGAGAGCGCCTGATGTTGACTTAAGTGCGGGTTAAGGGTCTAGTGTTCTGGGTAATGTCTCGGAAAGGGCTGTAGCTGCAGAGCCTCAGTTTGAGATATGACAATCCACTTACTGTGGATATTTCTACTGACCAGTGTCCTCGTCGCCTTAAGCCCAAAAGCCTAAACACCCTTACACCCTAAACCTAAATTCCATATTTCAACCCTAGACCCTAAAAACCCCAAAAACCCTAAACCCTCACAACCCTAAACCCTAAGCCCTTTCAAGTAAGTTCTACATTTCAGTGGTCAAAAAACACACAGCCCCAATGGCAACAAAGCTCAGGTTTTGTGCTGAAGGATCCTCGGCAAGAGATTTTCTGTTGTGGAGGCTTTAAAGTTAAAGGTTAGGGTTTAGGGTTTAGGGCTTGGGGTTCAGGGTTTAGGGTTTAGGGTTTTACGGTTGAGGGTTTGGGGTTCAAAGTTTGCGGTTTCGGGTTCAGGGTGTGGGGTTTAGGGATTAGGCTTTGGGGTTTAGGGTTGGGGTTGGGGGCTCTAGGGCTCAGGAACATCTGTGGATTTAGGGTTTAGGGTTTAGGGGAGTGTGTTTGCAAACCCTTCACTGTGTCATTTCTGCCGGGGATGAAAGCTCGGCAGGTTTACCTGCTGGAAATGTTGCTTACGAGGCCGCGTTGAAAGGGTTTACTGCCCTAAACCCCGACCCTAAGCCCTTAAACCCTAAACCCGTAAACCCTAAATCCCTAATCCCCTAAACCCCTAAACCCTAAAACCCTAACCCCGCAACCCTAAACCCTAAGCCCCATCGATTCATCGAGGATTCCAGGGCTGTTCATTCCCCCAATTAGAGGTGACCCTGGGCACCTGTCATAGCTGAGTGGGTAACCTTTAGGGACTGAGGTTTAAATCTTGTTTTGGGGGGCCCGGGACGCTCCGCCCCTAGGTTTAGAGCGCAGGGATTATTGTGGGGGCTTCTAGGAGTACAATAATCATCATGTTTCGTCAACCTCCCAAGTGAGGCGTCTGTCTCAGGGAGAGTCTGGGCCAAAAGATGAGGATTTGGAAGCCCGAAGAAATACACCCTAAAGATTCAACCTGAGTAGTGCAGTGTTCAGCGCCTGCACTAGTCACAGAAGAATGATGCACACGCCCCATCCTTTGTCATTCCATGGCTGGATTCTCTGAAATACCCGGTTGGGGTTTTGCCAAGACACTGTAGAACACAACCTTCGTAAATCAATCCGAGAAATCCTGCGCGGGACATTTTTTTTGATCCTTCGCAGCAAGTCCAGAAACAAAGGCCGCGTTACTCCCCCGAACCCTAAACTCCAAACCCTTAGCCCTAAACCCCAAACCTTGAGACCCTAGAACCTAACCCCTAGACCCCAAACCCTGAACCCTGAATGCTAAACCTCAAGCCCCATGTTGAAAGAACCTGAGTCTCATTCCTTTTTACCGGCCCCCAGAGAGCCGCTAATTATATTCCCAACATGTCTCCGTGGGACTTAGCTTGGACCTTAGACCCCTAACTCTTTGGGATTCCCTTATACTCCTATTCTTTGTACCTAAAGGGTTAACCCTTAAACTCTTTGGGATTCCCTTATACTCCTATTCTTTGTACCTAAAGGGTTGAGCCTTAGTAGGGGTCATAGGTGCCACGTAGATGTGTAAAATCCTAAAGTCTGCTTGTAATCTCTAACTCCTAAAGCCTAAACCTTTAAACCCCTAAGCCCCTAAACACTCTAAACCCTTAAACCCTTAAACCCTAAACCCTACACCGTCCCAGGAAAGCAGCATTTTGAGGAAGAGCTGGAGCTTTGTCGTAGCCATGCTGCTTCTGTACACAGGCCGGGAAGGGTTTGGGGGGTAAAGACACCAACCCGGAAGGTTGGTATCCCACAATGAGGTTACTTCCTCTAGTTGCCTACCACTTTGGGATAAGGATACCCAAAGTGATCCTATCATTTTGGCCAACATTTTTGTCAAGTTCTCTACCAGTTTGGGCGAAGGCTACCTAAGTGACCTCTCAGGTTAGGGTTAAGGGTTGAGGGTTTGGCCAGCCACTTTCCATCGCCTGTCCAAGCCTTTCCAGAGCTTCTCAAGCCTTTCGGTTCAAAGCGACACCTCCAGTGCTCCCCAGCACACGGTGAAGGCGGGAGGGAGGGTGGATCCCTGCAGAGTTCGCTTGCCTGTGGTGCCATGGCACCTTCGAGTGGAGGCGACAGTCAAGCTTGTGGGTCAGGCTTGTGGCTGTGGCTTTGCAACTTTTATCAAGAACGGCGATTTCGAGCAGGCAACGGGGTTCCCATCCACCAGGAAACTCCGCAGCAGCTAGGCGATGCTTTGGGTGGCATGCCTGGCGCTTTCCTTTCAAGCAATTTGGGTGAGCCTTCGGCTGGAAAGTGTGAGCTATACAAAGAGTCCATTTTGGACTTTGATGGTCGCTGCCTGCAGGCAGCAGATGTGACAGAAGCAGTTTTGTTGAGCTTCGTTCCTGAACGTTCAGGAGTTGATTGCAATGGCAAGTTGAAGTGTGAGCATGGTCGCGATGCTGGGCTGCGAGGATCTTTCTCCCCTCCGGCCCGATTCGCCGCAAGTTATACGACCAGCTGTCCGACTCCCTTGAGTTCCCCGACGACCCCCTCTTCGACCAGATTCGCCGCAAGTTCGGCGACCTGCTGCCTGGATTCTTCGAGTTCCGCGAGGACTTCCTCTATGACTCGATTCTCCGGGCTTTCTTCAAGCTGTGCCGATGGCCGAGGCCGAGCACTTAGACGTGATGGTCACTGTGGCAGGCGTGTGCACCGGCAGCATGGCGCTGCAGCTCCGCAGCATGGTGGCCCACATTCCGTTGGTTTTGTCTTCAGGACAAGGCTTCGCTTTCGAAGGGGCCTGGTCAGGCGCTGTGTGACGCGGCGCAGCAGACGAAGGATTGGGCAGCGAGCTATGCACTTCATGCAGGGCGTTGTCACTGGTGGTGAGGGTCGTAGGGGTAGGAGTTTCTCTTGTGGGGACCGGACCCAAAGACCGGGAAGACATGTCAAACATCGGGACCGGACCCAAAGACCGAGAAGAAAGTCAAAATGGGACAGGACCCGAAGACCTGGAAGAGTAAATCAAGATCCGCAAAAGGACAAAGAGCCGTCTTTGACGGTCACAGATTGTGCTAGAGTAGTGCCTACACTTAGCCCCTCCGGGCTCCCCAGGGCCTCCTTTGCTACGCAGTGCCGCCATGGATTGTCTGGATGCAGGGGAACGTGCAACCATAGTAACTTGCATGGTGAGGGCGCTGTTTCGTCGAGCACTCTTCTGACCTCTGCTTGGGTTTCCGGAGCTTGGGTAAGCGATTTTCTGCCTGGAAGTGTTTTTGGAACATGGGAGCGTGCTGGATGCTTTGGTCCACTGTTTGCAGCTGGTGCTTCGACCTCTTCTGCCAGGACACGGGACAGAGGGCCAAGTGAGCATGTCTGTTACCATTTTCTGAAGTGCTTGAGTTTTGTTGCAAGACAGCTTTGTCACGATTGGAAACGTGGGGCGAGAATCGGGGAAGCCAGCCATCCGGGGCCACCTAATCCTGCGGATGGCGCTGGACTAGGCGCTGGGCTGTTGGATGGCCCGGGGCTCAAGGAAATGATCCGTGAGATGGTGCGTGAGGTGGTCAAGGAGGCCATTCGTGAAGCTTTCAGCTCTGGGTTTTCTATGACAGATCCTGGTAAGGCTGCAGCGAAAGGCAAAGGCGGCCAAGCTAGAGACAACGGCCCGAGCCAGGGCGGGAAGAGCAAGAGCAAAGGCAAGGAAGTCAAGGCTCAAGGTGCTGCAGACAGCGGCCGAGGCAAACCTGCTGCGGATCCAAAAACCCAACCCAAACCGGGCAAGGGCAAGGGCGCTGCGCCCCGTTCTGAGAAGTCGAAGCCAGGTGTAGATGACGATGGCAATAAATGGAAGCTTGTTGAGCGCAAGAACGCCACTTCGGAGTTCGTGCTGAGGCAACAGGACTGGGATGCACGGCTCATGTTGTTCAATGAGGTCTCCGACAACATCGACAAGATGAAGCCGGACGAGATTTTCAAGGCGGTTGTGCGCTGTGATGCTAATCAGAGGGCCGTTCTTCGTCGCATTCTGGAGGGCTCCAAGCGTCAGTTCAGCGTCCTTGCAGTCACGATTGGCAAGGAAGAAGGTCAGACTCAGGAAAGGGTGCCAGGCAGGCAGGGCGATTCTCTCGCCTTCCGCATTGCCACGGTCACCAAACTACTCTCGGACAAGCAGATTGCACCACAGCCGGCTGGCATGAAGCAGACCACTGTCAAGTTGGTGCAGAAGGCCACTGAGGTCTTAATTGTTCGTGTGTCAAAGCATTTTGCCACCAAGGAGCTGTGGGAGGCTTTTGAGAAAAGTCCACAATGTTGTGTTGCACAATGGCTGGCAGATCGACATGTGAACGCTCTAGACAGTTTTGCGTGGAAGGCGGAGAAGGGTGATAACCAGGGGCATCAGCTTTTTGGATTGGTTCGGCTGCTGAAACCTGAAGCGGAGGCAATCTTAAGCACTTCTGGTCAGGATGGCGTTTTCTTGGACCCCTCAAGATCCATGCAGATCAAGGGCAAGGTTGAGTGGGTCGAGAGAAGCCATAAGCAGGAGAGTCACAGTGACTATCACGCCAGGGCCATCAAGTGTGCTGGCGATTTGGGGCTCGTTGTCAAGGGCAACAGACTAGCTACTCGCAGTGTCCTGAAGGAGACCGACAAGGTTCCCAGAATCTGGATTTTTGAGCACGTGCCCCTGTCAGTAGATCCGGAGCAGGCCAAAGCGATCCTGGAAACATCCTTTGTCGACGTGACGATGATGCGAGTGCGGAGCTCGCGGGATGAACGTGCCTTCTTCTTCAACCCAGAGATTCCAAAAGCCC